TTGCTTGCTTGCTTGCTTGCTTGCTTGCTTGCTTGCTTGCTTGCTTGCTTGCTTGCTTGCTTGCTTGCTTGCTTGCTTGCTTGCTTGCTTGCTTGACGGTGAGTTTTATTATTAGTTTATTTGTATTTTCATCAGACATTAGATCACCTCAAACCCTTAATGGAGAAGTACATCAGAGATGCAGACGGACAGAAAGACCTGATCATTTATGCTGAGGTAAACGTCACAAGCCTTGTCACAAGCCTTTCTTTTGGTTCTCCAGTTTTTATCCCTCAACAAAACTGCAAAATTCCAATTCGATCTGTGAGTTAGCCGTGCCCTGACTTAGATCAGCCAAGAGGTTGTTTCAGGGTTTGATCTGTGAGTTAGCCATGCCCTGACTTAGATCAGCCAAGAGGTTGTTTCAGGGTTTGATCTGTAAGTTAGCCATGCCCTGACTTAGATCAGCCAAGAGGTTGTTTCAGGGTTTGATCTGTGAGTTAGCCATGCCCTGACTTAGATCAGCCAAGAGGTTGTTACAGGGTTCAATCTGTGAGTTAGCCATGCCCTGACTTAGATCAGCCCAGAGGTTGTTTCAGGGTTTGATCTGTGAGTTAGCAGTGCCCTGACTTTGATCAGCCCAGAGGTTGTTTCAAGGTTCAATGCGTGAGTTAGCCATGCTCTGACTTAGATCAGAGGTTGTTTCAGGGTTTGATCTGTGAGTTAGCCATGCCCTGACTTTGATCAGCCCAGAGGTTGTTTCAGGGTTCAATGCGTGAGTTAGCCGTGCCCTGACTTAGATTAACCCAGAGGTTGTTTCAGGGTTTGATCTGTGAGTTAGCCGTGCCCTGACTTAGATCAGCCCAGAGGTTGTTTCGGGGTATCGATAAGATTTAAAGGTATAATAACAACTAAGAAGCGCCAGAAACACCTCTCTTCAACATAATTTTCCTAAAACTTACTCAAATTGTATAAACTGCGTCCTTTTCACCATTTTTTGTTTGTTTCCCAGGAATTCTTCGCTCTTAACAAGTGGTGCAACGCCATGCTTCAGATCTACCTCAATCACCTCTACAACGTGGATCTCCTTGAAGAGACGGTTATCCTTAGTTGGCATGCCAACCCTGGCGTACATGATGACCATGTCGTGGAATCACAGAAAAAACTACTACGAGAAAGGGTAAGGCTGCATTCATGATGTATGGCAGAGGGAGGGGGCAGGTTAAATTTAGGGGGGCCGGGAAAATTTTGGTAAGAAAAAGGGGGGATGGACAAATTTTGGAAGAAGCTACAAGCCTTGCTTCGGGGGGATCGTATTTTTTTGCATGACTTTAAGGGGGGTGTTAAGAATTATTCTGGACACTTCAAATTTTCCCCTGCCCCCCTCCCCCTCTGCCATACATTATGAACGCAGCCTAAGTTTGAAGTAGGGCAAAACTAGACATTCGTTCGTTTGTGTCATTCCCTTGAGAATAGGATTCTCTGTTTAAGTTGTATCCATATTCATCGGGAATAGCATATGGTCTGTAATGGAAAAACATCGCAACAAGACGAATGAAGTCTATTTCCACTAGAATAGATCCTGGTTTACAGCACGAACCTGCGTAGGCGAGCGGAAAGTGTCGAAGGAGACGTTTTTTTAATGCCTTTATATTTTCGAAATCGTGAACTGTATTATAACTACTATGTTTTTCTATGGGTTTAGGGAAAGAAAAACATAGTAGTTTTGATTCAGTTCACGATTTCGAAAATATGAAGGCATTTAAAAAACGTCTCCTTCAACACTTTCCKCTCGCCTACGCAGGTTCGTGCTGTAAACCAGGCATAACTAGTCGAATAAAATTACTGCAGTCAACTCGGCTCCAATGATTGCTGCCCAGAGTTCTTTTCGGTCCAGTCGCGTAGGCTTGAGATGGTCGACGACAACGCTTTTTGAATTGACTGTATACTCTAGGAATTGTCGGGTGGTATGAAATGGGAAAATATTACTCCCAAGCTAAGAGGATCTATTCTAGTGGAAATAGACTTAATTCGTCTTGTTGCGATTGTTTCTCGCCATTATTATCTTTACTACTAGCGAGACAATCAATAAGCCTGAAGCGAGATGACGTTTTACCCCCGTCTCTAGACCATAATCCTTTTCACACTGCTTTTGTTCTTTAATTATGACTATTGTTCCTGTATTCTCTAAGGAATCAAAAATTTTAATATGAAAGAATTTTAAAAACTATTATGGTATAGAGTCGGGGGTAAAGCGTCATCTCGCTTCCAGCTTATTCAAAACGAAAATTTAACCGCTTCAGTGATTTTTAGACGTATTAGCTTTCGATCCAGTCGCGTAGGCTTGAGTCGGTCAGCGACAACGTTTTTTTTAAATGACTTTTTCTTTGTTTAACGGTTGCGTATGAGGAAAGCAAATGAATATGGATACATCTTAAACAAAGAATCTTATTCTCAAGAGAATAACGCGTGGTTTGACCAGATTGAGGGGAAAAAACGCCCAAGGTAATATGGTCTTTTGGACGTGATTCAATACAAGAGCAGAATCATAACTTCTTACATTTTGCTAATGTTCAACACAGTCTCCCATACAAAAGCTTAGTGGAGTGGAATGGTTAGGAAACCTATTCTATGTTTTTATTCGATCTGACTAGTTATGCCTGGTTTAAGAGAATAACACGTGGTTTGACCGGAATGAAGAAAAAAATACGCCCAAGGTTATATGGTTTATACTATTAGAGCAGAGCAGACAAGAGCAGTATCACAACTTCTTACATTTTGCTAATGTTCAACACAGTCTCCCATACAAACGCTTATGGAATATTCAATAAATTTATATTCAATGCCCTTTTTCCTGTATTTTGCAATATTATAAGCTGAAACTCCGCCTAATATCAAGGTGCTCTTCCCATTTCTGTTGTTTATTTTGATGCAACTGCTTAGCTTTAAGCGGTTACGTCACGTGACTTAATAGTATATGACGGCTATGGCGTCTTATGTTCCCCAATATCTAGAATTGATTAAAAGCAGGAAATAACTTAATAACACAATTGTGGACAGAAAGATTTTTCATAAGTTTTGTCGTGATTACAGAAAATTTCAGCGACAATTTCTCGCGTTCCTAATAACCAATTTACTAGTAATATCAAATAAACCAAGTGTGTTAATTCTTTTGACCACAGGTTTTGCCATTCATTAAATGGCTAAAAGAAGCCGAAGAAGAAAGCGAGGACGAAGACGAGGATGATGATTAGAGCCAGTGGTATCCTTAGAAGTCGGTATTACAGTTGTAATCATGGTAGAAATTGAAAAGATCAATAAACAAGGGCTTATATACTTCAGTATACTTCAGTACTTCAACTAATAATAACTCTATTTTTTGAATTTTCCGTAATGACCTTTTTCGGAAAGAAAAAAAAATTCATTCCTCAATTTTGCTTGTTCTCGCAATTACTTGTTTTTATTCTGAAGGGACAGTTAAAGTACATATCGAGTGTGGCGTAGAAAAAATAACAGCTAATTAAAACTACTGATATACTGCTCGGCACGATATAGAAACCCTTGTCTCTTGGAACAACTGAAGCCTATATCCGTTGCTTAGTAACGGTTGGTGTATACAGACACCTTAAAATATCTTCACCAAATATTCTGCTCGGTACGTTTTACAATTTCTTGCCTAGAGTATAGAAACCCTTGCCTTGGTGCTACGGAATTTTCCACTTAAAATACATGGAAAGTTCTTTAATTACTAGAACTTTCTATTTGATTGTCGCTCAGTTTTTCATTGATTTTCTTTTAGATTAGAAAACAGGGGATAAAAACAACTGAAGCCTATATCCGTTGCTTAGCAACAGTAGGCGTACAGACCTTCAATTAAATTAAACCCAAAAAAAATCAGAAATAATATATTAACAATTAATTGGTTTTAAAAGATAAGTCGTTATCAAAACTCAATATTAGTTCACAATTATATTTAGAAATTCAAACTTTAAAAACTTAACTTTCTAATCCTATCGATACCTGTGATGTTATTTTCTTTTTTCATAACTTTTATTTATATGCAAGATTACTCATTCTTATTCGTTCTCCCCCAAGGGGATGCTTTTAACTTAAGAATGGCCCGTCACAATCTGCTGCCTTCATTTTGTTCCGCTTTGCGTCAATTATATCTACGATGCATTCGTGAAATTTTTATTATTCCTCAGCAAAGAAACAGAGCGGAGCTCAGAGTCAAATTGGTTTCTTCACTTTTTGTCTTCTTTTCTTTATTCACTCGAACGCCACTTAAAAAATAACGACAGCTCCGATTTCCGAGATGAATTGCGCTCTCTTTTTGTGGATTTCGCTTTTTTGTGGAGCAGCTAGTTTGCAGTTCGTATTTTCGATGGGAAAGGAAGAAGGTATTCAGAATCTAGACGAGGTAAATTCACACTTTCAGCGTTTAAAATATTCTCATTTTCTTGCTGTAATGGGTTTTTTTAACACCGCTTWAAAAAAAATTAATTTTGATATCAATTTGCCTTCCGTGCTCTGCCAGTGGTTTGCGCTTTTTTCATCAGTTTTAAAACCACTGTATCACTATCGAGATATTCGTTAACTGAAAAAAGCTACTGACGGTTTAAGGTAGTTGGGTACAATTTATAGCCGACCGCATCAAGCTTGTTTATTCGCTTCGTTTATGTTGCTTTTATTTGATTACCATGAAACTTTCATCAAATATTAGACAATAATTGAAGTTTATAATAGTTGATTTTGTTTTGAAATAGAGTAAGATAAATCAAAGTTATAAGGAAATATTAAGATAAAGAAAAAAACTAATTTTCGTATCTATTCCTTTGCGTATTGAGTTGTTACTCAGGTAAACGCCCGTGCCCTTGTCATGCCTCACTGAATTCCTATGTGCTAATCATTCATCCTAACTATTTCACGGGCATATTATTTCTACTCTAGTTACAACCGCTTTTTGCCGATTCAAAGAAATTCGAGAATAAACAAAAAGTCCGAATTTTGCATACTTAATGGAGCGGAATGGTTAGGAAACCTATTGTTCTATGTTTTTGTTCGATTTGACTAGTTATGCCTGGTTTACAGCACGAACCTTCGTAGGCGAGCGGGAAGTGTTGAAGGAGACGTTTTTTTAATGCCTTCATATTTTCGAAATCGTGAACTGAATCATAACTAATAAATGTCCAAAACGTTGTATTGAAAGTGTGTTGTGGTTTATTGACTGCACCAAAACGCTAATGAAAGTTTGAAAACGTTAATGAACCCACGCAAACATATTCATGATTGTCAAATTCAATGCTAAATTTCTTAATGAAAGTTCCATCGCACTATTGAGACTCCGTTCGCCTTATTGTATGCCTGTTCGCTCTAATGACAATGCTTCTTCGCTTCAATGAATATTCCTTTGCGGTTAATGAACAGAAAAAGGTGTAATAAATCCTTTACAAGATGTAAGCATTTGAAGTTTTGAAAATACACCAAAACGAGGCCACCAAGGCTTCCAGTGATAAATACATACAAAACTCTCTATTTTCGTTCTTTCATAACCTCTTTGGTATGCAGTCAAATTCTACAAAATTTTCTGGAAATAGTTTTCGTGAAGTATTTTCTCAGATAGCATTAATAGTTTCTGGTAAAAAGGCTTCATTTTCTCTATCTGAAAAAACTGAGTTATGAAAGTCGTCTATTTAGTACTATTTAGTAATTAGTGTTTCACTTATTAGGCCCCGTCCACACGTATCCGGAAATTCGAAAAGTATTTTCTCATCAGATAGCATTTATAGTTTCGACTGGTAAAAAGGCTTCATTTTCTCTATCTGAAAAAACTGAGTTATGAAAGTTGTCTATTTTGTACTATTTAGTAATTAGTGTTTCACTTATTAGGCCCCGTCCACACGTATCCGGAAATTTTTGTATCCGCAAATTGTTTTTTGCGGATACGAAAATGTTTGCGTCCACACGCAGCGTATTCGAATCGTTTTCACTGTCCAGACATATTTGGAAATTTCTTGATCCACCCTGATGCACGGTAGTGCCTAGTCCCTTTGACGGATAATTTTCACCGTATTCGAAAATTTGCGGATATGACCGTCCACACGTATTTTTAAAATTTTCACTCTGGAGACCGTTTTCGAAAATTTCCCGATACGGATACAAAAATTTCCGGACACGTGTGGACGCAACTCGTATCCACAAAAACAAATTGTCGGTACACAAATTTCCTGATACGTGTGGACGGGGCCTTATTACTAGCGGGAACAATTAATTCAGAACGAATATTTAACCGCTTCAGTGATTTTTACCCATATTCCTTTCGGTCCAGTCGCGTAGCAGTCGACGACAACGTTTTTTTTGAATTGACTGTATGACGTTCACAGTGCACAGTGAAGGAAAAGTTTCTCCATTTGTTCACAGTATTAGGGAATATAAAAGATTTTTACCCTTAAAAATCGTTCTAAAATATGTATTATTTGTTAATTAATCCTATATGATTAATATTAATTTTTTATTGAAAATGAAATTGCCCTTTTTAATGCTTTCTTATTTATCATCTAGTAACTTAACTGTATCTCCTCGGAAATATTGGAAATATGGTTTTTGGTCATCGAATGAATGTTTTTACTTTCAAAGTGTTCATACATGAAAATAATAAGTAAATAAGTATTTTCAGCAATACTTGCTTTGGTTCATTGTGCACGGTCAGTGACACGTGATGGTACGATTCAACATCAAAGGTAAAACAATAGCTTTGTTCTATKGAGTTTCCAAACCATTCCACTCCATTAACTATGGAATTTTGGTCATAATTTTGCAAGAAAAACTCTACGTAGAAAACTTTATTTCCAACCAAACGTTTACAGTTCATAACTATGAAGTCAATAGACGTTTCTGCGTGACTTTGAAACTACGTTACTTGGTTCCACATATTTTAATGGTATTGTGTATGAAAAGTGAGCAAAATCGAGGTTATAAAATGTCCGCATCATCTCCTCAAAATCTGCGCCACAGAATTTTTTTAAACTTTGATATTTTGTAAGTCATATATCATAGTTTGTGAAAATGAAGCAATTTGAAAATAAAACGAGGGAAACAAACAGAATT